AATGATGCACTGAAAAAATACACCAGAGTCCCTTCATGCTAGTCAACTTTGACCACATATACAAGTGGAAAATGTTGTGCTTCTCCACCCAAATAAAAATGACATTAAATATAACAAAAGTATTCACTAGTCCTATATTACAGTTGGTTAAAGGGAGATGAAATTAAAGTGAGACAAATTTGTATACAAAGAGACAGAAAGTAAAAGAAACAGAAAGACAAGACCCTTACATTTGTGGATAAATAGTTTTCTTGAGACAGAATCCCCATACTGAATCATTTTCAAATACTATCACTCACCATGGGCTTTTAAAATACATTATGGGTTCAAAAGTAGAAGCAAAAATGGAGGAGTCATCTTTTGGTACTTGCCTCAAACTAAGGCAATAAAAGAAGTCAGAGGGAAGAAGTTGAGAGCCAGAGAAAAACTCAGTATGTGACTCTAAATGGGTAAAAGTGTTTTTATTTAAACTTTGTAACACCCTATTTATCATCTGGTCCAGTAACCACTTCTGTAAGGTGTCAACATATTGCATACCACTGTCAAAACATTCCAGGGCATTAATATTTAGCTTTTGTTTCTATCATAATCCTCGTCTTTGATTTCTAAAACCACAGCAAGCAGTGAGAGAAGGGTCATGAGCAGAAAAAGTAAAAATTATTTGAGTAAAAGATGTGGGGAATGGTACCAATGAAACTCACTTGTGCTCAAACCTACTCTTCAGATGTCTAACACCCTGGATGCTAAACAGCTCTGAAGCTCTCAATTTCTTAAATAAAGACTAATACCCACTGGGTGATTAGTTATTAAGCTCTTCCTCAATTAACGTCTGAACTAATTGAGGATAAAAGAAGTCATGAGAAACAGGTAAAAAATACTAATTACACCTATTTTTTCAACATAATAAAAATAAAAACAAGTTTGTCCATATACTAGCCAATGAGATATACCTACTTGTTGAAGAATAACCTCATACTTTGATGGAAAGAATCTATATCCACAACCTCATCGTTCATACTGGTCCTAATTTACTCCATGGGAATGAAGTTAAGCATAAAAATAGTATTTTCAGCATCAATTTATTTGTTATACTTCAAAACTGATCCTTCAGAAACCATTTAAAAAAGATTTTGCTACCAGGAAAAAAGATTAACGAAGTACAGAAAATATACATAAAGACACCCTGTTAAATCTGGAGAGGTCATTTACACCAATTAAGCTAATTAACGTATTTGTTATTCCTTCCTGAAATGATAAAGCTTGGGGAGAAAGGAAACCTTCACATGGATTAAATACTCTGTAATATTTTTTAAATTGCTGTTAAAGAGGATAGATATCTTCCTAATGTCCAAAAATACCTGATTTGGTTTTTAAAGCAACATGGTTTAGTATACAATATATGTCAGGGTTACCTATGAGGCCTAGGGAGTCCATGTATATTCTGAGACAAGATGGTGTTCTTGAGCAAGTATTTTAGGATTTAAGTGACTAAATCTCCACCTCTACATTTCTGAAGCTTTAACACATTATTTTAGTAGTGAGTAAGTAAGCAGCCTTTAAGGGCTGAACCACATGGATGATCACACTGTCACTATCTGGCTTCAAGCAAGTCACTGATACTAAATCTCAGTTTCCTTCTCTATAAAATGAAGAGAGTGTGAACAGGCCATTGCCTAGGCTGTTTCTATTTCTAAGAGTAAATTTCTACATGACTCTCTTAGCCTACTTTCAACCAGTTTATATTTGGAGCGTGACCTAAAACTTTACTGATTCTTATCAGTAAAGAGGAATGGAGGATGCAACTAAAATGTGACATAAAAGTTCCCACACACAATCCTATCATGCTTTGGAACCAAAGGCACAATGACCAAAAACAGCCTAGAAAATTGGATCAACCAGGCAACAGCTTTGACCAACTTGATTAAATATGTAACAGAAGAAAAGTCAAAAGAATTGTGTTCTAGCCCTACTCCATCACTGTGGTAAATTCATGAGTTTAGAGTCAGAGATCCCAGGGGTCAAATCCAGTTCCACCACTCACTGGCTTTGTGATCTTATGATTTAACCTTTCGGAGCCTCAGTTTCTTCCTCTCATCTCATAGAGTCATTGTGAGAATTAAAATACATATTTAAAGCACTTATAACAGGGCTTACTGTATTGTAAGTATTCAATAAATGGGATATTTGCCTTCTCTTTTCCCCATGTAATGTAACTAATAATTGCTTTGGGTTTTTCTTAATATATTGAGAAAATTAAAATGAGAAGTTTACAATTATGTAACACTAAAATTAGAAGGAACCAAGGCCTGTCAATTTTGCATCTACATTTCTCTCAAACCCTTCTTTTTTATTCTCTCTCTTGGCATCAGCTGGTAGAAGTCACTATCATCTCTCATTCTACTAGAATAGCCTCCTTCTAACTAGCCCTCAAAATCTCTTCTCATCTCTCTACTCTCTCCCTACTCCATTCATACATAGCAAAGAGAGATGCCCTTAAAACTGTGTAAAATAAAATAAAAACTTTACCAGGGTCTTCAAGATCTGACATGGCCTGGGGTCTGGTCAAAATAATGTATTTCCCATTTTCCCTCTTGGCCACTTTCTCACTATGCTCTAGTACAATGTCCTCCTTTCAAAATTTTGGCCTTCAGTCCTTCTTGCCTCTGGGCTTTCACATGTCCTGTTCCCTCTCCTAGTTAATTCTTACCCTTCCTTCAAAAGCTCATTTCAAATGTTTCTTGCTCAAGAATCAAACTAAGTTAGGTCCCTCTGTTATTTTATTTCAGGACACTCTGTACATCTTTATAGCACTTATAAATATTAAACAATTTTAATTAGTTAGATGTCTTATTTAATGTCTCATAGTATATCAGCTCCATGAGGGCAGGACCATGTTCACCACTGTATCCCCAGCACCTGACACATGATACAAACTAAATAAATATCTATTGATAAGTAAATGAAAAGACATCTTGTCCAAATGCCTCAGTGTGCAGATTAGGAGACTGTAGTCAGAATATGTTAAGTGACTTGCCTAAGGCTGGGACACCAAGAGTTCTTATTCTCAGGCCAATGTTTTTTTCACTACACTTGAGGTCCCTTCCAGTTCTAACATTCTGTTATCTCAGAAAATCAATAAAAGATGTGAAAATATTTTACAGATGGAAGACATTGTTTTTTCCCCACTTTGGACAATATACTTGCTCTTGCTTTATTTCTCACTCCCCTGCAGACCACCTTTGGGGGACTTCTGCTACTCATGTCTGTTTCTTCCTTCCATTTAATTCAACACATATTTACTAAATAATCCAGTAGGTGAGGCAAACTTGTAAACAAGGAATTATAATCAACATTGTAAATGTAATGGCGGGATGAATGAAGTACAGAGGAGGTACAGAATAGGTAATAAATTAGATGTTGTTCAGGAAGCAGGAAATAAAGAAAACAAAGAGATGACCCTCGACATGGGTTTTGAAGGATGAATAGGAGTTTGCCAGGTGTAGACGAGATTCCAGGCAAAGGGAACAGGACATATACAAAGACACTGCATCTATTCAACACGTTTTTAGTTAGTGCCCATAGCTGCTGGTAAAATGCATGGCTCACTGAATTCCATAAACAGTACAATAGTCCCCCATTATCTGTGGTTTTGTTTTCCACAGTTTCAGTTCCTGCGGTCAACTATGGTCTGAAAATATTCAATGGAGAATTCCAGAAATAAATAATTCATAAGTTTTAAGTTGGGCATATTCAGAGTAGTGTGATGAAATCTCGCTCCATCTTGCTCCATCTTGCCTGGGTTGTGAATCATCCCTTTGTCCAGTATGCTACCTACCCATTCATTAGTCACTTAGTAGCTGGCTCCATTATCATATCAACAGTCATGGTACCACACAGCTTGTGTTCAAGTAATCTTTATTTTACTTAATAATGGCCCCAAAGTACAAGAGTGGTGATGCTGGCAATTCAGATACAACAAAGAGAAGCCATAAAGTGCTTCCTTTAAGTGAAAAGGTGAAAGTTCTCTAAAAAGGAAAGAATAGAATAGTATGCTGAGATTGCTAAGATCTACAGTAAGAATTAATTTTCCATTTGTGTAATTGTGAAAGAAAAGGATACTTGTGCCAGTTTTACTGTCACATCTCAAACTGCGTAGATTTCAGCCACAGTGCTTGTTAAGTGCTTAATGAGGATGAAAAAGGCATTAAATATGTGGGTGGAAGACATGAACATTGAAAGACCATATTCACTTTTATTACAGTATGTTGTTATAATTGTTCTATTTTATTATGCTATTAATTTCTTACTGTGCCTAATTTACAAATTAAATTTTATCAAAAATATTTATGAATAGAAAAATACATAGTATCTATAGGGTTCCATACCAGCTGAGGTTTCAGGTATCCATTGAGGGTCTGAAATCATAGCCCCTCCCATTCTCCATTATGGGGATCTACTGTACTACTACAGAGAGAGAATAGGGAGCAATCGACATTGTGGAAAGCAAGAGTTAAACCGGAGTACCTTTACGTCTTGCTAAAAGGCACAAACTTTGATCTACAGGAGTGGAAAACCACTAAAGACTTCGGGAGTAAGGAAGCGACAACCTCAGATTTACGTTTGTTTGAGAAGCTGCTCAGTTAGGATCACGCCCCCAGATCCAAGAAAGAAGACAGAAAAACTGCCCCCAAAATCTGCATAGGACAAACACAACTGTCACACATGTTATCAGATTAGCCGAGATGGTCAGGTAGTACTCACTGTCAAAGAGTTAAAAGGGAGAGCCTGGAAGAAGACGCTAAGTGACAACTGAAAGGCGTCAAGACCAGGCCCGGCGCCCGGGGGCTTCCGGACACAGCTCCAGGCCTTCCTCCTATCTGGGAGGGACCCGCTCACCTCTGCAGGTTCTCGATCTCCGCCGGGATGCTCTGCAGCTGGTTGCCGCCCAGGCTGAGGGTCTGCAGGGCGCGCAGCTCCAGCACCGAGGCGGGCACCTCTTGGAAGCAGTTCCCGCTGAGGTTGAGCACCTGAAGGCTGCGAGAGAGAGGCGACTGGGCCAGACCCTTGGGCAGCGCGCCGGGCCCGCCGAGCCGGTTGTTTTTGGCTAGCAGCGTGCGCAGGCCGCGAAGCGCCAGCAGCTCGGGCCCGAGCGCGGTCAACGCGTTTCCGCTCACGTCCAACAGCTGGAGGTGCGGGAAGCCACTGCCCAGCGCCCGCGGCAGCGACACCAGACGGTTGTGTGGCAGCAGCAGCCGCAGCACCGCCTCCCGTGCGCCGCGTCGCTCCTCGCCCCGCGACTCCAGCTCCGACTCCAGCGTCTCAGGGGACATGCTGAGACGCGACAAATTCAGTTCGGCCTCCCCGGCCTCCTCCATCCCGGCCGCCGCAGGCCGCGCGGCCCCGGAATCCGGAGATCGCCGCGCGACCCACAGGCCGGAGGATCCGCAGCGCCCCGGAACCTGAACCGAGGGTTGCGTCAGAAGCGGCGAGGGCGGGCGCTAACCTTGCGCGCTCTCGCCGAGTCACGCGACGTGAGGCGGCGGGTGCGCGCGCCGCTCCGGGGCCTGGCTTCGCCTCACGCGGCGCGCGGCGCGGAGTGGGGACGCTGGGCGGAGGCCGGTCGGCTGTCACGTTGCTCTCTGAACCCGTCCGGGTTTGGGCAGCAGCGCTTTATAGTCCCTGGAGTCTCGCGACCTGACCCGGGAGTCCAGGGCCGCCTCGATAAACAGCCCGAGGATTGGTTTTCTGGCCTTTAGGGTTCTCGCGCGTCACGATGCACCGCCCACTTAGTCCCCTGCTAGGAGACTACGGCCCCTAGGCTGTGGGATTCTGTGAGAACACAGGAATTTAGTGGTGATTCAACCCATTACAGCAAGCCCTAGGAATTTAAAGTCTGGGGATTAACCAAGCTGGCTTCGAAGTGCGAAGACAGCTGGACTAGAAATCAGAACCCCTGGCTCCTACCTCGGGCTCTGCTCTCCTTGGACAATGGATTTATTTCAGTTTCTCCATCCGTAAAATATGAGTAATATACTTGCCCCGCTTTCCCT